GTATTCCTAAAACGAGAATGATTTTTTTTTTACATTTATTCGTATCCACTAGATATGCAGCGAAGATACATTTTTTTTATGCCTGTAACACGGCAAATCGAATCCATTACGCTGATTTTGAATTCTTGAATTATTCTCGAGTTAATCCTGCTGCTTCACGTAACGATCGCCGCACGATCTTTAATCTCGATCCCGTTGCATTTTCGTCATAAGGGAGATTCAAATAACGTTATTTCTTTTCGGCGATGGTTGTCCTTTACAAGATTCTCCTGACATCGACGTACCATTTCGTGGAAACTTGGAGGCTTTAGAAGCTCCGAGGCTTAGAAATGCGCAAGAACGTTCTACTGTTTATTCACGACGGAAACGCGGACGCGATTAGCATAACGAAACCCGACTTTATCACGCATCAATTAAAACTAGCCGAAATTAATATAGCGATTTCAGTTCTCGGGTCAATTCTAATCTGCGGTCGTGCATTTGTGTGCGTATCATTAGCCGCCCAGACCTTGTCGATTCATTACGCGAACATAAGGAATGGATTACGTCGCTCCTCGTGCTTCTCTCCTTCTCTTTCTCTCCCGTTCTTCGATTAGCCGTCCATGCGTTTCTGTCTCGTTTCGTGTGTCGCGTTCAGCGCACACGTCTTCATCTCTTATATCGCGCACACGCGGCGTCGCTCGCTCGCTCGCGCTTGCGGAACCTGTCATTCTATTCGCGCGCTATTCTTCATTCCTCGTTCCCTCTCCTCCTCGCGGTCCCGTTCGTGCACCACTCGTCTCTTCTAAACGTAACATTATCGATTAGAGATGTACCCCAAGTATGAAAAAAAAGTACCCCTTCCCCTTTCCTTTCCGTCTTCCGTCAAATCTTCCGCCTGTCTTCCTCTCCGGTCCGCGTGTCATTCAATCGGAGCTCGTCGCCCATCTCTCTCTCTCTCTTCCTCTCCCTTTCTCGCGCTTATCCTTTCCCCGTATCCTCGTATTTCTCCTCGCCCCGGTCGCGACGCGCGCGTTTTCTCTCCCTCTCGTGTGACTTGTTCCTTCTTCCGTCTCCGCTTCCTCCCTCTCGCGCGGTATACGCGCTCCGTTCTCTCGTGTAACGGCGACGATCGCCGGCTTTTCGTACATTTTCGTGCGGCCTCGCGGCGTACCGGCCCGACGGTGAAGCGGCGCGCGGGGGGGAGGCGCGGCGCCTTCTCCGCGACGGAGTCGCACAGTCGTGACGTGACGTTTTAGGGGTTGGTCGGGTTCGCTCGCACACGGCATGCGACGGGGAAGGAGACTGCTGCGGTGACTGCTCGCTCGCGGCGCCCCCAGTCAAGGTGCAGAAGATTTCGCGCGTGTCGTCGTCGTCGTCGTCGTCGTCGTCGGTGCCGCCGCCGTCACGTCGACGTCGACGTCGTCGTCGTCGTCGTCGCCGTCGTCGTCACCGCCACCGCCGCCGTGCTGTACCGGTGGTGTTCCTCGGTATACAGAGAATGGTCGTCTCTCTTCGCCTCTGATCGCGCGAGCTTTTCTTGTACATACCGCGACGTGTGACCTGGACGATAGTCATCGTCGTTGTCGTCGTCGTCGCGCGACACGCAAATTATCCGGACATCCGTCACGCGGATGAAACGCGGATTTCGCGCGCGCGGCGAGCGCGAAAGTCGCGGGCGTCGCGGCGCGGCGCGCTCGATCCTGCCGCCTGCTGCTCGATCATCTTTCTCGTTTCTCCCCCTCCCCCTCCCCCCCTCCTCGTCCCGCCTCTGTCTCCGCCTATCTCTCTCTCTCTCCGTCTCACCGCGCGCACTACTGCGCCGTCCTCGTTCGATCGCGATCACTTTCGGTGTGGCCCGACAGTTCGGGCGGCGACGACGGCGGCAGCGTGGGGGTGGTGGTGGTGGTTGGTGCGCGCGATGAGAGGGAGCGCAGGGGTAGGAGGATGATCCACGCGCAGGAAGGAAGGAACGACAAAATCGTTTAGTATTTATTTGAAAGTGTATTTACTGATATCCTCGGCCAACCTCGTTCGCTCGCTCGCTCGCGCGAATAACGCTCGCCCGAATCTGTTTTTCGGGGACGGATTCACAGATTGCCGAGAAATCCTCTATCCCGCTCACCGCGCCGGTCGGCTTTTGTATACGCGCTGATTACGCGGGTGTTCACGGCGCGGCGGGATCGTTCGGATCGCGTCGATCGATCGCGGGTATACGACTGTCGATCTCTCGAACGAAAACGTTATACACTCACGTCTCGTCGCGAGACGGGTCACCGTGCGAATCCGTGAACGATTTTTTTTCGTCGCGTGTGTCAAGTGTACGCTCCACTTCTCCTTTTTCGCCCGGTGATAAACACACGCAAGCCGGCGGTCGCCTGTGACTCGCACACACACTCGCAGGCACTCGTTCATTTGCTCGCTCGCTCACTCATTCACTCACTCACTCACTTACTCACTCACTTACTCACTCACTCACTCACTCACTCACTCACTCACTCACTCACTCACTCACTCACTCACTCACTCACTCACTCACTCACTCACTCACTCACTCACTCACTCACTCACGCACGCACGCACGCAGGCAGTGTCGCCCCGTCGTCGTACTCGTGTTCGGTTCATTGTTTCGGTCATTAGCTTACGCGGCATGACGGCCGATAGGTGTTACCTCGCGATAACGCGTTCGCACTTGGCAAACTGTGATTCGCGTTGCCGGCCGAGCGTGCCTTAGAAACTGTATTCGTGTGCGAGAGAGCTACTTAGCCGTGTATGTGTGTTAGTGAAGGTATTGTATCGGCGAGATCTCTCCCCCCGGGATTGATCCATCGATCGCGCGCATATTGATGAACGTGGTGTTGTGCCTCTCTTTCTCTCTCTCTCTCTCTCTCTCTCTCTCTCTCTCTCTCGGCACGCGTTTCGGGAGTGTTAACATATATGTAACGTGTGGCACATGCTAATTTCTGAAATCTCGGGATCCGATATTCCTCGCTCGCGTAATCTCTCACCCGCGGGTATCCCGCGCGGCACCCGACCGACCGCGCGCACAAAATTGTGCAAATAGTAACGGCGTCGTTCGCCGGCGCGGTACCGCCGGCAATAAAGTGCGCCGCGAGAGAGCGGCGATAGACCGAAAGTTGAACTTTTTTCTCTCCCCCCCCCCTCCGTCCCCCCTGCTTTTTTTTCCTCTCTCTAGTGCCGAATCACGCGAGCCCGGCGTTTTTTCTGTTATCAAACAATGTTCGTTGGCGTAGTTATCTCGCGTGGATTCGTCACACATAAATTTAGCAGAATGCGATAGCGCGGGCCCTAGAAACACGAAGAGTGTACGGCCTCTCTACTTACATGCGGTACGCGCTTTTTAAAGGGAAGGAGATACAAGCGTTTCTCGCGCTCGTCTTTTCTTCGCGCCGCGTCTCTTCTCGTCTCTTGTTTCACTTTTGTCTTATTTTTTTTTCTTTTTTACGATGCAACGGGAAAAACACGGAAGCGATTTAAATTCAAAATTTTTTAACAGAATTTTTTCTGCTGTCGATACGCGTACGGTATTTGGCGGTGTAAACGGATTTTGCGAATCTGTTATGCAGATTTTGTTATTTTGTTAAAAGAGCGACAAAACGCGCGCAGTGGCGGCGGCGGCGGCGGCGGCGGCGGCGGCGGCGGCGGCAGCCGATGGTTATCGGTTCCAATTTCGCTAATAAGAATCTTCGTGCGAGAACACGCGATAAACGTCTTTCGCGACTCCGTTAAACGTCTCGGGCATTTCTCCGAGTGCGCTTTGGCACGCTCGCGCGCGAGAGAGGCGAGCTCTGTGTAAACTTGTTTTAAGATCTTTCCTCTTTTTTTTTTATCATTACGCTAAGATAACACTATCAGCGCACATTTAGTGCTCCCGCTTTTATAAGTAGCGGAGAATTATTTAATCAACGTTCTTGAATTGGCTCCAGCTTGACGACCTAATTTTTCCCCGTATGGCGAAGCAGCGAATTGCACATACGTACCCTCTTAGATTTTATTCCTGCGGTCATGCCGTGCCCGCTCCTTTCTCTCTCTCTCTCTCTCTCTCTCTCTCTCTCTCTTTCTGTGCGCAATTGGACAAATAAACACGTGTCTCTCCTTCTCGCGCCGCGTCGATAAGTTTATCTACGCAAATTCCTCCATTTCTCTTCTGCAGTAGAATTTCCAATTCATTATGTCACCACGCATCGCGCCGATTAACGCGTTCCTTTCGTAATGACAGTTTTCGGATTATATACGTATATGTATGCGGACATCTCAAAACGAAGGAAAGCGTTTCTCGTAGACTTTTCGTCGTTTACGTTTCTATATGTGCTATAATTAATCTTGCATTTCTTACACACTTTTCTTAAAATCGACTCACATCTCATGGCACAAGAAACTTCAAGCTACCTAATTAATAGATTTACTTGCGAAAAATCGATTGCTGGCCAGAGACCATTTCTTTGCTGCTGACGATTTCGAAGCTAGAAAAATTTGACATCAAATTTTCCCATCGTTGTAACAAGCTGAGTGGATAGCTGAATTAAATGTGCGTCACACGATACAAGAATTCTCTAAACGCAGCCAGTTGTTGCGTGTTATTTTTTTTTCTTTTAACTTTTCAACGTGCGTTTTTTTTTTTTTTACAGTCGACCTCCGATTTATCAGGAATATCGTGGTACACATGCAATTGCGATTTGCTATCAGTGTTGAATGTGTGTGCACGTTGCAATTGTGTTTTCGAGTGTCGAAATTCGACTTATCTAAAATTATCAGTTTGCAAGCTTATCGGCGCGCGTCGTGTCCTAGGACGGATCGTAGTCGAAAATTTTAATTACGCGCGCGCGCGCGACGAAGCCGATCAGCCTACTACGCGCGTGCCGCGCGTAAATCGAGCGTATAATTCTCAGCCCGTCGATCTCGACGAGCGTCGCGCGTTAGATTCCTAAGTGACAGCGAGAGTTTGTGTCGTCCCAGCCCAGGAGTGGCAGCAAGGCGTTACTTTTTTAATTGCAGGTGAATAGACACAACGATGGTAGATACACAACATTTTTGTCTGCGATGGAACAATTACCAGAGCAGCATAACCTCGGCGTTTGAGAATCTGCGGGACGATGAGGACTTCGTGGACGTGACGCTGGCCTGCGACGGCAAGAGCCTGAAAGCGCATCGCGTCGTTCTCTCCGCCTGTAGCCCGTACTTCAGAGAATTGCTCAAGGTAAGGCTCGTCACCCCACCCACCCCCCGTCTATCTCTTCCCCCCCCCCTCCACCCCCGATTTCTCTCCCTTACAACCTCCGGCCGGCGAACGTCCGCCAAACCTTCCGGTTCACGATTCGCGTGAATCCCGGAGCGGATTTCGCTCGCGAGTACGTTAAAAATCAAGTGAAGAAGATTTTCGAGAGTCTTATTGTGTAGAAAGAATTTCAAATAGCCACCGCTATAATGATTATGCGCAATAAACGTTGCACCGTTTCAGAGCACGCCGTGCAAGCACCCAGTGATAGTGCTCCAGGATGTAGCGTTCAGCGACTTGCATGCCTTAGTGGAGTTTATTTATCACGGCGAGGTGAACGTGCATCAACGTTCTCTCAGTAGTTTTCTGAAGACGGCGGAGGTCCTCAGGGTATCGGGCCTCACGCAACAGGCCGACCAAACCGACAGAGATGAGGTACGTTTTTTTCTCTCTCTTTGCTTCTTTTTTTTTTCGGGTGGCAATTACGAGTGGGGAACACTGAAAGAGAGCGCGGGGTAATTCCGGTGAAGTTTCGGACTTCGATGCTGCAGGCACGTGAGAAACGTTGACTCGCGCCGCTGCGTTTACGAGTGACAATGGAGGTGCAACAGCTGGCGTAAGATTCTATCTTCGTTCCGTTTTTCTCGTATACCGTGTCTGTATAGCGCGTTCGAAATCGAGGCACGCCGCCAATTACCGTACGGTTTTCGGAGTTTTCGGTAAAAGCGTGTGTAAACGCGCGTTTGACGCGTATGCACGCACGTATGCGTGCACGGAAAGAACGATTTTGTTGAAAGACCTAAAAATTTTGCTAAAAACAGATCTGAAAATAATTTTTTATTGAATCATCAAAATAATTTGTTGGAATGTTAAAACTGATAAGTATTATATTGCTATAAAACGTTTTGATATTCTAGCAATCATTTTGACTTTCGCACAAAATAATTTTGACTATTGAACAAAAATTAATTTCAGATCTGGATTCAGCAAAATTGTTCTTTCCGTGTGTGCATATGTGCACACGCTCGCGTGCGCGCCGACACGCGCATTTGGCCACGTAACGTCGTGCAGCTCACGCGCGTATCTCTCGAAAGCTCAAATCTTGCGCGTTATCGCAATAGACTCTGGCGAAAGATCCTTCCCCTCCCATCCCCCCGCGTTATCTCGATGCAGAGCGCGTCTATCTTGATTCCAATTCGTAATTGTCATAGGTCAAGCAAACAAAGATAAAGCGGGGTTCGCTCAATAAATCGAAAATCGATATTCACCGGTAAATGTAAAAGTATCGAATATCGATATACGGCGCGGGCCGCGTCGCGACGTTGCGAGACCTCTTCAATTTGTTCGCCGCACACTCAACCAAACTATCATTTTCGGCGGGACGATTTATCGATCGATTAAAAACGACAAATCCGGCTCGCGTATCGCGCGATGGTTTCTCAGTAATTACAGGACCGATCTGAGAGAATGTGTGCGTGTGTGGAGGAGTGGTGCGAGCGTGCGTGCGTACATACGCGTGTTCGTCTGTATAATTAATACCATTGCCGTTCCGTTTTTTGTTTCCAGCTGTCGCATGTCCGCGCGTTGGCGGCCGGCGGCAATCACCTGCCGTTCCACGAGAAGACGGAGGAGACTTTCCCCCGCAGCGGCGGTTCGCCTACGCCCGTGACCCCGACGCCGACGACGGTGCAGCAGCTACTGCGCCGTGCCCAGATACGCCGTAACGAGAGACGCACCCCGGACCCGCACGATGAGTCGACGAAGAGACCGCGGATGCCGTCGCCGCCGCTCAACAACAACGACGCCACGCCCACGGACTTTTCGATGGTCAAGAACAACCACCTGTCGACGAAGGTGGAGGGCAACGGGGTGCACGACGAGAACAGCCTCGTCGAGGAGAATATAAAGTGCGAGCCGTTGGAGCTGACCGGCGGCAACGGCGGCAACGCCGGCAACAACGAGGACTCGTCGGACTCCGGCGCCGCGGCGTCGGACCGGCCGCCCGCGTCCGCGAGCAGCAACGAGCACGAGCCCGAGCCGGAGCACACGTCCGCGCAGAACTTCCTGCCGGAGAGCAAGCTCTTCACGTCGACGCCCGGCAGCTTCAACTTCAGTATGGCGGCGCTCACCACCGATCACACGCCGTTGTCAGGTACGTGACGGGGTGCCGAACCCCGCGGCGGGCCTGTACGCACAGACCAATTCGCGCGGCCCGAGGGCCGCGCTCTCACCCTTTGACCCTTAAGTGCGCCAGCGATTGTTCGATCTCGTTCATTTTGGACTATCAACTGTTTTTCTTTTTTTTTTAAACCTACTTGATCTGAGGTAGATTTTGTGAAGGAAAGAAAAAATTTGATTTTTTTTTGTTGGAAATGTAATCACGTCGCTGTATGTATGTATGTTTTCATTTTCTGCACTTAAGGGTTAAGAGTACGCGATAAATCGTCGCTCCAGCGCACGCGCGGTTTCTCGTCGTCCGATAACGCGATATTTCTCGCATGCACGTTTGTACAGAAGCCACGGTTCAAGTGTCGATTACTTACCAACACGCCTAAGCTGTTTCATTATGTTTTACTATGTATTGCATTTTAAAAGAAAGATATTCAATCGTTTTCGTTGGCTTGATTGATAAATTTTGGTTTGAGCACCACCGTTTGAGCACGCATCGTCTTGTGTGACTGGAGCTCCTCGGCTCTTGGCGTAGCTATCCGCTTTCGCGGATGACCGATTTTTTTTCCCTTCGCACCACCCTCGTTTGCACTACCACGCGTGTTTTTTTTTCTCTTTAATTGCGAAATTGCGTACAGGCCGTGGTTGAGTTTCTGCACGCGATGGCACTGCCGTTGCTACGTGTGACGATAGTGAAATTTCCAGGGTTGGGCCACGGCTTGCAGACGCCGGATCTAGCGGGTACTTCGCAAGGTAAGAGACTCGAATCATTATTTTTTAGCTCTCTGCCCTTTTGAAATCATTAGAATTGCTTGAGAAAATCGAGGTACAATCGATATCACGCTCCCGCTATACATATATATGTATGTGGCACTCTTGTTATTATCGCGGCCGTAGAAACGTGCGTTCAATGTGCGTTCTTTTGATTTTTTTAAGGGCACTCTGCGCTACTTTATTATTCTTCCACTGACAGTCGATACATCGCGGCAAAGACCTCGATCGTACGCGATGTAGCGGTTCGCTCTAATAAAAAGTAACTAAGGACTTGTGCAGTTATATCAAACTAACCACAAATCACAAATTTACGAGAATGAAAATGTTTTTTACTGGTTGCGGTGAAAAAAAGAGCACTACTATCTGCTTTGGAAGATTTATTAAATCTCTTCTAATTGGCATGTGCGTTCCAAAATCATATCGATATCATCATTACTATTACGGCACCATTTACGAATCGCCTTTACATTTTGCATATCATAAAAATCATGTACTTACCGCGAAGCACCCCCCGTGCGACTGCACGGGCTTCGGACGAGATACGGCCATCGAGCTCGGTAACCGTAATCTTACGAGCCGAGCTCGAAAACATAATTCTTGGAATTTTCGCGGGATTCTCTGTGTCGCGTCGTTTCCTTGGCAAAATTCAGCACACAGGCATACGCTCGCCGACCGTAACCTCACGCTCTCGTTAACGCGCGCGCCGAGCGTCATTGCGCTACGCTCAAATACAGAAATTATACGAATCGCGATTGAATTCATTATCACGGTTTATCTCGATTCCGCATAAGAGACGAGTCCGCGCGCGCGCTCTCTCTCTTTCTCTCCCTCTGGCACGTGTTTCACAAGTGCTTTATTACGTTATGTATCGGAAACGTCATATATGTTACGTTTGATATGTTAAATATACGTACTTTGCAGTTATTACATAAAAAAGAAAAATTACTTGAAAATTTTCACACGTCAAAGGATAAAAGTGCAAATGTATAATATCGATTTATCTATTTATATTTCGAATCGACATGGGTATAAGGTGTCCCGAGAGAAATGTTGCAAGAATCTTTGAGAATTATTCATATCGTTTCAAACAGAATATTTGTAATATAGGGTCAAAAGTTACGATAATTTAAATAGAATGAAGCATTTATATCGGCTTGCTGCTGTACCGTGTTTTCATGTTGCTGTTATCACTGCGACATAAAATATGTTCGAATAGCTAAAATTTTAATCGTAACTGTAATCTTTGAGAAACACGATTTTCTATTGAAATTACTTTCCAAAAATCAGTTTCCAGAAAACAACTTTAGCTTACTTTGGACGAGATATCTAAAAGTCATACATATATCACTGAAAAAAATATCTAATTGCCTTAATTGGATATCCAATCGATTCAACAAAAAGTACGAAATCAGATACATTTATAGTTCAAATCTAAACATGGTCTAGTCGAGAAATTCAGTTACAATAAAAGGAATTCTGATAGGTACCATCAGAATGAATTTTGTACTTCTCGTTTTGGTGCAATCAAAACACACATTTTTCTCGGTGTGTTGATCGCGTAAAAAAGGGATCAGATAATTTACTCTCCGAGAACTTTCTTTCCGAGACATCTTGTATACCCGTTGATTTTTTTGTTTTTCGTTTCTCCGCGTAACCGAGGCGAGGGCGAATGAAGAGCGTGAGTTATACGTGCGGGCAGAGCGACGCCTTTGGGCTAACGACAATTTCATCGACTCGCGCGAAAAAAAAAAAATTTTTACGCTGGTCGCAGCAGATACATTCGCTCGAACATCGAACCCGCCGTTATTACTATCGGCACAACAATGTACACGCGAACGCAATTGGCGTAAAAGAAAAATGGAATGGAGTGTTAGTCCAGAGTTTGGCATCACTGTGCAATATATTCGTGGCCGCGCGCCGCGAGATCGTTATCCCGGCGACGCGTCGCCGGGGTCCGTGCGACAACATTCCCCCCCCCCCTCCCCTTCCCCCGCGAGATAGGATGTGTATCTCGTCGGGCCTAAAAGGGAAAGGGACTTAACGGCGTCTGTGCACGTGCGTATATATATTCGCGTACACGCCGATTTCCCGGATCAGGTGTTGAAACGATGATCAGCGCCGATCAGCTTTGAGTGTGTCGTTGGCATAAGTGTTGCCGATTTCCCGATAATCGATCGTTGAACGTGCTTGTATCGCTCGATTGAACGGGTTGGGCTGCGTATCGGCTGTACTGTTAACGTTGCCCCCCTTTCCGCCCACCCCCCCCCGTTCCCCTCCGGTGTGTTAACGTTTTGCAATAGAATCAATATACGCGGCGTGATATCGCCGATACGGCGCCGTGACATTTGTTACACGCGTATATACGTTGAGGAAAGGAAAGGAGAAAAAAAAAAGAAAACAATATGATTGCGATCGAATAAAACGCCGGAAATTATGTCGCGCAACTTCTGTTTTTTTTTTCCGGAATTGTCACTGATCTTTCATATACATATATATATATGCACACACAAACACAACACACACCGTCGTAAAAGAGGATGTGATAGGTCTAATCATCATTTTCTTTTTTCCACATCGGCAAATCTTAACAATGAAATTATCTATGACAGTTAAAAATTAAGCGAAAAAAATGAAGAAGGAATTGGGATACGAGAGAATATTGGGATGTCGAAATTACGGCGTTACCGTATTACATAAGTTCCATATTACATAAGTTTCGACTACTATGCGAAACATTAGACGAGAGACGGGAATGCCGATGGCCATCTCGATATCGAGAGAATCATCGCCCTATCCTCCGCAGTCGAGAGGACGGAGCCGGGCTGCTTACGTCGACGTTAATGACGCGATTACGTCGCTTAATGTGATACAGGAGTCGCCCTCACCTCGCTAACGATAATGGTGAATAATTACGGGAACGAAGAATGGCGTACTTGGGCGTGCGCGACCTTCCACAAGCGGATTTCGGTAGTCGCTGTATTGAGTTTTGTGTGCATGTGTGTGTGTGTGTGCGTGCGTGTATGTGGTGTGTGTATGTGTGTGTGCGCGCGCGCGCGAATGCCTCGCGTCTGTGTGAGTGGCCGAGTGTCGGTGACGTCGAGAAATCGTCCGCGGGAAAAAGAAAAAGAGAAATAGCATTCGATCGATCGTGCGCGCGCGCGCACACACGTATGTATGCGTATATGTACGTGTGGGTGTGCGCTTTTCATGGCTTCGGACCGAGTCTTCTCAGCTGGCGAGAATGTTCGGCCGAGTTGACGGCAGTCGTCATCGGCCGCGACGACGACGGCGACCGTGACGGGGCTAGGGTGACGCATTTTTTCGATTGCGCATATATCTCTTTTGCTAGTATCCTCGGGATGAGAAGGGGGAGGGAATCTGGAGGAGAGGGACGGGGGGACGAGGGAGATGAAAAACTTTGACAAATGCGCGACAATCAGCCGATCGGCGTTCGATCGGTCGGTTGTGCAAATTCAGGTGCGGCCTCGCATTGTCGATTAATATTTGAACGGCTGGCTTATACTAGGTTAGTACTGAAAAAGTTTATCGCGCCAGGGAACGTGGAGTAGGGAAGGAGAGAAGGGGGATGGGAAGAAGGGAGGGCAGGGGGAGAGAGAGAGAGAGTGAGAGAGAGAGGAGGAGGAGGAGGAGTTTGGGGACCTCGTCGATAAGGCTGCAGATGTTATCCGCGAAATTCAAGGTCCCTCTATCTCCGACGAGAACGAACGTGGCCAACTAAACATTGGCCTAACTAAAAATACGACGACCTTGGTACGCCACTCACGTTCCTGCCACTCACTTCTCCGCGAATCATTAGATACATTAAATTATATCTCGCAGCGTGGTCTTCGACGAAATTCGCGATCGCCATCTCCCTCTCTCGAGGGGGACCGATAGGTTTTTACTTTTTCTCTCTTTCATTTTCTTTGCTCCGCTAGTTTAGATGAAGAATATCTTGCGACACACAAGTCGCGCAAACGGCGCGGCGCTCGCTGTCTGGTCGAATTTATGCGATGTCACTCGTAGAGAAAGAGAGAAAGAGAGAGAGAGAGAGAGTGAGAGAGAGAGAGAGAGAATAGCCTTGCGCGAAACCGATATCTTTGCGAAAAGGCGTCTCGTCGGGCGCATCTCTTATAAAGATTCAAGAATATCTGTCACGCTTACGGGGGGATCTTAGGAGCATTAGCGACCCCTAGCTGCCGAAGGGCATATCGTACGAAAAATGTGCGCTGCGTTTCGTACACGTTGATTACGCGCGTCGTACAACTTTGCTCGGGATATTTCAAAGTGTTTCGTGGACCTCAACTTCGAAAATATTCGATAAATTTTTTTTGTCGCTATTTGGCAAACTTCGCGTCTTCTAATCCTGCTATTTGTCGTCGGTCGACTTGCAGTCATTTCGCTGTTTCTCTGTCGGTAGGGTTTAACGGATTAAATGCGTGCCTGTAGATAAGCCAGAGTATAACGATTCCTCGAAACTGATGTAATTTTCGGTAGACGATACGCGATGCTCGTCATCACGTTTCGACGTGACGATCGTTGCTAAGTAAACGCTAAGCGCGGCGGGGCAGGTCTTAACGGCGGAGCAAATGATAATAACGCGATCTTGGCATTGCTTCAAAAGCTAGACACGACATTTATGGTGAACTCGGCTCTTCTTCCATGCTTTTTACATATGCAAATCTCTCTTCGTATATTTTCCCTTCTCTTCAAGTCTGTAGGAAAATAAAAGCAACAGTAGGGGCCATTAAAATATTTATAGACGATCAGATAATAATGAGAGTAACGAAGTGCACTTTTGTGCTTGGAGTGAGAACGACGGTTCCTAAATTCGAATCTCGGTCGACTCCGCTAATTTTTCCGCCGGCCCCTGCAAGTCTTATATTCAAGTCCCGCGCGACGTGTATAGGTATTCGAGAATCAGATTTGCCGGGTATTTTTAGGATCGAGAGCTACTTTTTGCGGATACGACAGCCCTTTCGT